TACTGCTACTGCTACTGCTACTGCTACTGCTACTACTTGTACACGACGACGACCACCCCCGCCGCCACAGCCACCACCACCACCACCACCACCACCACTACCACCACCACCACCACCACCACCATTGTTGTCTACGAGTTACAGAACTAGTCAGAATTGATGTTATCATGTTCCAGTACTACGAATTATAGGGTCCAGGAAGCGCTAACAAGGATCAGCTGTGTTATGTAGTTCAACCCATGCTGTGCGGGATGCCATTGCTGAGACCATGCTCCGGCTGGCGATCGTGCTGGCCCTGGCGGAGGCGGCTAGGGCCTACACTCTGAACACTGATCTTTACACACCGTCGAGTTTTGAATTGACCGCAGTGTACCCCAAACCCTTGTTGAGATTCTTTTGCTAGCTAACTTCTTTGAAGGGGCCATCGTTATCCACCGTACACGCTTCGGAGATTTGGTGCACACGTCCTCTCGGGCTCGGACTAACATGCTCGTGGATTAGGGTTTGAAGGAGTTCCGCCTGCGACTTTCGTCGAAGGACTTGCGTTCTTAGCCTCTGCCACTGAAAGATTCGGGCCATGTATGGCCCGTTAGTTCCCCTTGAACCGCCGGGTCAGCGCAGGTGCTCTCCTGTTAAAGTTTCATGCATGGAGGTCCTTCAAAATCTCCATTTCAACAGGATGAAGTCTGCAACGAGGTTTGTGGCAGTATTCCGAAGCCTTCTGAGACCTTCCCGGGTTTACTGATTACTTCCCACGTTGCAACTGTTTTCACATCGAGCCCGGCTTGCGGGGGATACGGAAGTTCCCCTGAGATGTCTGCTTCTTAGGGCCTTTGAGCCAGGCGGCTGGATCGTTTGAGCTGACGCCGGAGGACCGGCGGGTGCCCGCACTTTTTCAACATTCGTCATCCGGGTGTAGAGACTCGGAGAGACAGGGCTTCTAAGTGGGCTTCTAGCTAATGTCGAGTGGGCGCATCAGGGTGTGCCTGCGGCGACAAACTGAGCAGATCGTGCTTTCAAGACAGGGTTTTGACAAGCAAGATTCCGGGAAGGAACCGGGAAAGCTGACCTGTTTCTGTTGATCTCATCGGTCAGAGCACAGAGGTTGGGGGGCTGAAGCGCAAAAGGTTCAAGCTAAGGGGTGAAACATTCGCAAGCATCAGGTGTGGGGAAAATGCGGAGTGCGCAGATGTTTTGAGGACGCAAGGTTCCCTTCCCCACTCACATGCTGATACCCGAGCCAAGTCTGGTTGCCCCATTTGCGGCTGTAGCGAGAGACCCTTCGGCCGGAGACTGTTTTGCTGATGCCTTTGCTCCTCGTACGATGCACAGCTAGATCCTGATCTGCAGGGCTACGCCGAAATCCTGGCAACCAATTCCCCTGAGAAGAAGGAGGCAGGGCGTTGGAACCTTTGCGGCGACTAGTTGTTGCATGGCTGGTCTTCAGGCCTAAGGATGTCGTCCTGAGATGGTCCTCCCGATATTGTCCACACCCTCATCATGCAAAGAGGACGTGCCCTAGTTTTCAACCTCTTCTGCTTGCCATGAGCATTGTTATACTCCTTCTGTGCACCTGGCACCCTTCGACACCTCGAGCCTCCGGGGCGAGCATGAGTCATGAGAGAGCGGGAGAGGAGCACCGGGGACCAGCTATGAAGAATGTGTACCCCATATAGACGTGCGTACACAGGCACCGGCTGGCAAGCTGGATGCTTCAATGTTGAGTCAACTACCGAGAGTACCGAGTCAGGGCATGCGGCTGTGCTTGATTGGTGATGTCAGATGACGTCACGATCGAACTGAGAGGAGTTCATCGAAACTGTCGTGACCCAGCAACTCCACGGCTTCGTTACGAGTCGGCGGCTAAGACTACAGTGCAGGAGACTTCGGGGCTTTGGCATTGGTTCATTCCCTCTAGCTATGCGATAGTACATGTTCTGGGTGTACAGGCAAGGATATTTGATGCAGGCACGCAGTGCCATACACATTCCAAACTCTTGGCGAGAACTTGTGACGAGCAGTGTCTGTGACAATCCAAAGTGCTTGTAGGCATCAGCGCAGACTTATCAGGGAACGGGGGCACACACTGAAACTGTAAGATCAAGTCTGTCGAGAGTCGAGGCGATGTAGGGCTCAAGAGCTTCGCGGAGACCGTGCCCTGGCAGGGATTAACGGGGCTAGTCGCTTCATTCATCGTAACATGAAGCCCCCCCCTAATCAAAGCAGTTGCGCGGCTGTTGACTTGTGGCCTGAGGGAGCCGAATTGACACTAACGGAAGTGTTTGCGGGACTGTCGTGATACTACTAGCTGCGGAAAGGACTAGGGACCACAATGGTTAGGAGTAACAATACTAGAGGTGCCATCAGCACTGCGAATTCATGCGATAGTACCAGTATTTGTCCACACCTTTTTCGACGACGACGACGCCTACTACTACTACTACTACTACTACTACTTCTGCTACTACTACTACTACTACTACTACTACTAGGCTTGGTTCGGCTCTAATGGCCACAACGAGGCTCCCGCCAGTTGGTCGGCGCTTCTGTCGCAGCTGCAGCAGGGGCTGCCCTGGCTGTGCGGCGGAGCGACAGGCTGATCCTCAGCGTGGGCTCAGTCCTCGAAGTCCCTGTCTCACCAAAACTCAAAGTCTGGTTTCCTGCCGCAGGTCAGCGATCTGCTGTTAAGTCTATTCTTCCTCCACTGATGCGACATATTTTTTGCCGAACATCCGAACGATGCTCGTCCAGCTCTTTGGGCTTCAACCCTGCAGATTTCTAGGTGTCCGCGGTTGACTGCTTTTTCGGTCCATCATTCTGAAGCAGCAAGCCGGTTCCAGGGCATCTCTGCGACGACCCACTGACAGCCCCATTGGGTCCAGACGGCTGGGCCTCTGCCTGGGTCTTAGGGCTCTAGATAGTTCTTAGCTCCAAAGTGCTTGGCATTCCCCATGCTTGCTGCGTAGGAAGCTCTTCTGAGACGTCCAAATCCAAATCTCTCCCTCTCTCTCTCTCTCTCTCTCCGTCTCTCGCTCCGTTCTTGCAGAACGCACATCAAGTTCAACGTGAGTAGTGGCTGCGGCTTCTTAGATGTTTGCTGGTGCCACATCTGTTCGCGAGACACATCTTAGGTGCTGCGTGCCAATGTCACCGCCCGCGGCATTCTCACCAAGCGCATTGCCGAGGATCGGCTGAATGCGAAGGCAGCGAACGCGGAAGCTCGAGATGCTTTAAATTTGTATTTCGGAGGTCCGCTGCACCTGAGTCATGTCCTCGATCCCACGGGGCCCCCCATGAGCCTTGCAAGCTGTCGGCGGACCACAGGGTCTGAAGCTTGCAGGTCACCAGTGAGCAGCAGCTTATGGAGTGGGCCAGGTGCGCTGGCGCCTTTAGCACCGCTTACATAGCAATCGCAACCTGCATCCATCGATCCGTATGTTTCGTCTAGAGGTCCTTGCTTGTACTGTATTACCAATAGTTACATTATATTAACAATGGTAGTAACCGAAGCATAATAAGTTTATTGCTACTAACAAGACATAGTGACATAGTTGGTGTGGTTTGTCCACGTTGTCTTGCACTTGTTTGCCAAAACTGTCTGAAATAAGAGGTCAGGTTTGAAGTTATCGCTTGCCTTGCAAGCTGGCTAACTTAGGGCTAAGTCCCAGGATGTCCTTGGCTTCGGCTTATGCTGCAGAGCTGGGACGAAGCTGAATCACTGTGATCCGACAGCGAACGCACTGGCCCGAACGAGACGAGACAGGAGCGTTGAGTGCTTGAGCTCTTGGAAGTCTGGCAGGTCCGCACCGGATACTTTGGACACCGCCTTGGCTGAGTCAGCCCGACATGGCTTGCTGAATCTGGGCACGGCAAAGGTCCGAAGTTCACGTTCTTGCTCAACAGCATCGCTGTCATCGTCAACATTGGCGCGCATAATCACCATTACCAGCATGAACGTCTTTCCGAGATGGTCATCATGGTGACGATCATCATGGTCATCATAGTCATCACCACCATCATCACTATCGTTACCGCCACTACCATCATCAGTATCATAGTCTTCTTAGTGTATCATGTTCACCTTCACAACATCAGCATCATCACCAGCATCATCACCATCATTGCTCGTGGTCTTATATGGCAGAAGCACTGCATGCAGACTCTGATTCTTCCACATGCAATGTAAGACCAATACAATGTCAATACATGAAGGGAGTGGAAGATTCTCTTTGGCCTGTAGTTGAAATCCTCTTCGACTTCGTCTTAGGGCCCACTTGTTCGACAGGCTCAGATTCATGCCTTGTGTGTTTTCGGCGCCTACCAACGGTTCCCCCGTGCCAGGCTCAAAGAAGCTGAGTTCCTTTGTGGCGGGGAGACGAATCGTAGGCGATTGCCTCAGCTTGCAAAGGATGTGCAGATGGAGTCGACGAGCCTGCTGATAAATTATGCAGGAGGACACGCTCAACTGCTGCATGTTCAGCTGGTTCATATGATGCAGCTGAGGGAGGGGCAATATTTCAAGACACGAGGCGGAGGTCAACAGAGCACGACCGCTCTTAATTCTTCGTGCGCAGCACGTCTTTAAAGCTTACGGCGCATTTGGATGTAGAAATTGTCTACCATGTGCGCATAAAAGGATACCATTTCTCATCACCTGGCGGGTTCCAATCACAAGCTTACAAAGTGTTTCTGACGCCCAGATCACAGCAGCACTGTCCTGAAGAGCATTGGCCAGGCTTGAGCCTCACATGCTTAGTTTGCGCCCCTGCCGGGCCAACTAATGGCGCCGCTGGATGTTGTGTCCCTGGACCTGCACGAGGCGAAAGGGTTCCGGACAGGGGCTTATAGACGTTGCGGGGGGAAAATTGATTGGTTTCGTTGTGGGCTCGATCCTGTGTTGGATGGTATTGCCAGCCAGCATAGGCTGAAGCCTATCACCATGGCTTCTATCAAGACTAGTATAGACTTTAGTTCGAGTCTGTTCATACTGGCAGTAGCTGGTAGCATCACGTAACTGTTTTGGACTTGGACTACCCGGCATCGTGCTAGAAGCAGAGCTGGCAATAGCGGAACGTGTTCAGCAGAGGGTGTTGTTTAGCAACCTTGTCCGTCAACTGGGCAGAATATACTGAAGGTGCCCTTTGTTCCACAGCATTGTGCGACGACTTGGATGGACAGTCTGGTGACTCTGCTCACACCAGAAACTCCAGTCAGTCTTATGCAGACAGAGGTACACCTTGGTCAATCATATCTGTGAATGCAGCTTGGCGAGGATTCTGCTCGACAAAGTGTCATCGAGCTGCTGATTTCTGCCTTTCATGAAGACCCAGGCTCATCGGCCAACAATCCGGAAGTCGTCAAAAAATTGCGGACGACGAAAATTCGGAGGGTTCCCAGGACAAGCTTCGTTTGAACGGCAGGTTTCTGTGTAGCAGTTATGTGGGCTCTTGCACTTGCGGCATCATAAGATCGAGGCTACCCAGTGCTGTTACCCAAATCACAACCTGCCACCGTGCACCGCAAGAGAATATAAAGGCAAGGACGAGCGGGAAGAATCACCTTGACAGCAATCGCAGTCATGATGGTGCCATCAGCTGCAACAGTTCGAGGTCTGAAACAACATTCGCGCCCTCACTGTTCTTAGCTGCAACGCTGAAAAGAGCATCGGTGTTCTTGTGTTGTACTCAGCAGCATCTGCATGACAGACTGATCAGACGGCGAATTCCTTAACCCCGTACCCTCAACCCCAAACAAAGGTTTCAAATGGGTGGTGGGCTCCGAGCAGGGATCTGATGGCCAGTACCTACGCAGCATGGCACGCAGTGAGGATGCGAGGGCTGACGGTTTAGTGGTTTTGGCCGTGGCATTGCAGTGGCTGTAGTCGTAGTCGCACGAGTAGCAGCAGTAGCAGCAATAGCAGCAGTAAGCAGTAGTAACGACACCGAAGCCTCAGGGGGCCATCAAAGGCAAAGCTTGTTCTCGGCTGGACTGCTTGTTCCAAGCAGTCTCGTCTTGATTGCTCGCTTGGAGTTCATCGGAGAGATTTTGCGACCATCGTTCGGGGCAAGCTTCCCTTGAGCTCCGAGTGCATCTTCCACCCAGACCTTCTGCAAAGACAGGAAGCAACAATGGACACAAGAGCCTAATGTATCATCAAACAGAACGCTCGCGAGGTTCTCCGAAACCCCGCATCCCCAAATGTGCCCTGGACAGATTGTAAGCTCCCACCACCACGCCGGCTCCGAGGCTACGTCACCTGGGTTCTTCGCCTGGCGGCGCATGTAGTGCCCGCTGTGGGCGGGATGGCCTTGGGCGCGCTGTCCGAGGAGGTGCAGCTGACGTTTGCCGCCTGCAAAAATACATACACATAATACACATGCATATACATGTACATGTACATGTACATGTACAGTACACTACACCACATTACATTACACTACATTACATTACAGAACATTACATGACAATACAGTACACTACACCACATTACATTACACTACTTTACATTACATTGCATTGCATTACATTGCATTACATACGTATGTATATATATATATAATATGTATATATACATACATATGTATATACTTAGCACTTAGACTTGGTAATTATGCACCTTTGCAACAGTGAAGTACCTGCAGCGGCGGCCGCTGTCCTTTGCACGTGGAGATGGACTCATTGGATACGGTCAAGTTCCTTGCACAGTTACAGCATCCCAGCATGACTGCAGGGTCACATCTCGCTTGCATCTTAGACTGCAGCCTGGCAAGGCTTTGCTCGGAGTGGCTCTGCTGCTTCCACCCGGCGTCCAGCTCGAGGTCAGTGCCGACAGACCCGATGAACCTGAACCGAGCAGAAACCTTCTGAAGAAGTTTCAGACTCTGCCAGCCGTCCCTTCCAAGGGCCGGGGATAGCCTGTAAGTCGTTGTTTCATTCATCAGGTCCAGTCAAGGTTTCTCAAGCCGTGATCTTGTTCGAGCGCTTCGGAGTTCGGAGAACCACAACACTTGCTCATGCTGCTGCGTGGTCGCCGGTGGATTGTTGTATAGCTGCGGCTTAGACGCACGATGCCCCAAAGCCGGGAGATGCCAACCCGTCGAGGACGCAGGCCTGGGGAAGCTCATAGGCCCAGAAGGCCGGGTGTGCCCTTGAGCCTGGGCCAGTCGAGTCATGCTCACACACTGGTTAGGGGTTTAGAGTTTAGGGTGCCCAAGCTTTGAACCCTAAAAATCTTGCGAAAGCAGTCATTGCATTTCAAATAAACCCTAAGCCCCAAACCGCTACGCAGGGTACTGGTTTCGTCACTCTCTTGCTCTTTATGCTTTGTATGATGTCGCGAGACAGTAGGTATCGGTACAACTGGGTCAGCGCCTACCTATTTTCCATTTGAAAGTCAACGCGAGGTCCTGTGGGCAATCCTCCCTTCAAGCCCAGCAAGGAGACCCAAAGCAAGGACCGAAGACCGCCCCTGCTTCCCGCGAGCCACAGCATGCAGTGCGCCTGGGATGTCTCAAACCACTGAACCCTCTCCCGGAAAGCTTCGGTTTTTGTCAGGAACTGCTTGCTTGGGCACGGGCGGCCCGGCGCCGCGACCGAGTCCCTTGGACGGCATTGGAACATGTTGAAGTGGAGGGAGCAATTACTATAGTTCTACTGCAGCAGCGGCAGTGATCGGTGCAGGCGATTCGGTGAATTGTCGGCGTGTTGAAACGTTTCATTCAGTGACCTGGAGGTCGAGCTGCAAGTCTAAGTCTAAGGGGCCATTGGGTCGTTAATCTTTGCTGCTACAGTGCTGTCATATACTGTCGAGGCTGAGAACCCGTGGTTCCGCCCCTGCGAGCTCCCAATGCTTCCAAAACATGGAATTTCTCTGGATGCATGAAATCTGCAGACACATGTAAGACCGCTGGGTCTTGATTCCATTCAAGTAGACTTTCAGGACTCTGTTGAAGCGCGAAGCCTGAAAGGGACACAGTCTGGCACCTGCCGGTCAGGCTTTCGGTCGCGCGGTGGGTGAGATGCACCGCGCGGTCGCGTCCATGCCGCGGCGTGGCTTCAGGTCTCTTCATGACTGTAGGGGTTCTTGCGCAGTGCGAGAGATGAAGGCCTCAATTGGCTTTTGCAGTAGCTTTGCGCCGTATACTCTTCGGCAGTGTCCCCTGAAACAAGTCTTCGCGATGCTCGTGCCAGTGGGTCTTGCGTATGGCTGTGGTGGGCTCTCACATGGGCCAAGTCGCAAGACACAGCGCCGCACTCCTCTGCACAAATCGCCGAAATCTACACATGTGCATGCGGGGAAGTTGTCCTCCGTGGTGCTGCAACACTTTGCTGCTAGCCATTTCCCGCTAAGGCATTGGTACTTGTGGTTCCTCGGTGTGCATCCAGATGCGCAGGGGCAAGGCTGCCTTAGAGTTCGCATGATTTCTGTCGGGGTGGCGATGTCGAGCTTGTGAAGTAGACATGGCCCGTCAGTGTCTTCGTTCCGGTGAGCTTTTTCAGACAGTAAATAATCATTATGACTACAAGCAGGGAGAGCCGTTGCATAGATCAAAGGGCAGAACAGAGGCGGCAGTGCACACAGGAAGCAAGCAAGTGCCGGTCTTTGTCACTGCACGCAGGTGTGGGAGCAGCACTGCTGGCCGAAATCCAACAGATTCAGGTGGGGGGCTGGCTGTTACAAGATCGTACTACATTATATTATTAATTACGCTAATATGTTATATGTATTCATTGTATTATATATCCGGTTGCAGATGCGTTGGGATGCTGCTTCGCTCTTTGTTGCTGCACCTTCGTGCCGTTGAAGCCTTTCAGCGTGCAAGGACCGTGACTGGGTGCCCTGCTACTTGGAGGGAGCCTCAGAACTTGTCCGGTCTCGCAGAGGCTTGCAGCAAGGGAGGGCTAACCGAAACTGGAGGGCAGTGGTCGAACTAAGCTGGACCCTAAACCGAAAAGCTACACCGTTCCAGCGTTGGAGTGGTCTACATCTTTCAGCCTGGTCGCACACAGTGGTTCAAAGACATTCGGGTGATTTACTGTGGATGTGAACACGCTTCTATAGCAGAGATAAGCTTGATCTGCTAGATGTGGTTCCCTGTTTTCTTTCGAATACGTATGTATATTTACATATGTATATATATATAATCATGCATACACACAGAGAGATTATATACACACACATGTACAGACATATGTATGTATGCATGCATGCATCTATCTATCCATTCATCTATCTATCTATCGATCTATCCATCTATCTATCGATCTATCTATCTAACTATGTGTGTACACTGTAACTCTTGCCGCTTTTGTATATCCACACAACTTCCATTGGCAACCCTGCCGCAACAACGCGCACAACAGAAGATACCCCCCACCCACACTAAGATCATGCCCAACTACAGATGTTAGAGATTGACTGTATCCTTGAAGCCATGACTCTGGATGCCCACAAGCTAATTAGCGGATGCGGCTCAGGAGACAAGCAGATGGACTAATGTCCAAATCTACTTGAAGAAGAACTTCAAGCTCGAGCGAGATGCCATGGGCCAAGACCGAATGCGAAGAACTCCAAGCCGTGAGCCGTGATTGAGCAATCTAGCTGAAAAGTAGCAATTGTGTGTGGCATGATCGGTTCTGGGCAAGCGGCAAGAAGTGAAGGGCGATGGAGGGCGTTTTGGGGCCCCGCCGAAGTCGAGACATCAACGGAGTTGTGCCGAGTTCGCGGTGCTCGCCAAAGACAAGCAGGGACAAATCCTTGACAGGCCTGCCCGCAAGTAAATCCGTGATCTGCAGCGAGTGTGTAATACAAATCGAGCGGTGCTCTAAGCACGATAATGAGATAGTCAGAGTCCTTTCACAACATGCGCGTGTGTCTTCGTGTCCGCTTGGAGAAATTCGCAAGGCAAGTGTGGGTATATGCATATGTACATGCACACGCCTACACAGATTGCATGCTGGTTTTGTGTGCACACATATGTATATATATATATACATACATACATACATACATACATACATACATTCTTCGTGCATATTCATCTTTGTACTGAACTATTTGTCGTAGCATGTCTTTGATTTATGAAATTATTCGTGTATTCGTGCATGCCTGCATGAGGATGCTTGTTGCTGCTCCAAGCCTTCAATTCCGAAACCAATCCACCTGACATGACACGATGCACCAGAGTTGTTGGCGTAAACTGGCGCAGGTTCGACCTCGATGGCGGCATGCATGCCATGATCCGTTTTCCAAACTCCGGAGCTGCGAAGCTCTAAAGATGAAAAAAGCTCCGCCAGTGCCGGGTTCTGCGAAGAGTAGATCGACCTCGGGTGCGTTGAACGGCGGTCCGTGCGCAAAACGAGGGTGGCAGGAAGGCCAAATGTAGTTGAGGGTTTCGGACTGGCTTCGGGATGTGCGAGGCATGCCACTTGGAGCAAGCCGCTGTATGTATGACAGAGCATTCTAGAACATGTCACTTAGCAGGATCGATAGCTTGCAGACTTCGGGCTTCGCATGTCCTCTTCGGTGATTTCGCACAAACCCAGGTGCGAAGGCCCGAGCGAAGGCGGACACTTGGTTTGCCTGCTGTTTGTGTTGGTTGAAAAGAATTTATGCACCATTTAGAGCTCCATTGTAACGGTGGCGTGATGTTGCTACAATATGCAAAAGTGTATCAACTATTATTCGATTCTGTTGTGAAAAGATCCATGCCAGTAGGAAACCCATGCAAGCATAAGTCGATGACTGCACCGCATTTGGCACAGACAATCGTGCTCCTGATTCAGCACGACATATTCCACGGGCCTAACAAGAAGAGGTATCAGGCACAAGACAACGCAGGGACACCTGAGAAGTTTTGCACTATTATGCAGCTTCTCGACCTTCCCTTGCAGCCAGGAGCCTCCGTCCTCGATGCGAACCAGCGCTCTGCTGCTGCTATCTCAGCCGGAATGTATGTATCTGCTTCAGGACATGGATCACTAGTGATGAGGATGAATATGATGATCATGAAAGTGAGTACGGTCACGCTCACGCCCACCACCAGAACCAGCAGCAGGAGTGTGCTTGAAGTCGTTGTCGTCGTCGTCATCGCGATTGCCTTTACAAGAGTTCTAGATCAATGGCAATCGTCGTAGAAGCCTGACAGTAGAAGGAAGCCATGGCCCTGAAGACAAGGCGTTTCGACTTGTGCGTTTTGCTTCTTTGCGACCTCCGCTCCAAGCACTTGTGCATTGCAGCAATCTGTGCAGCTACGCATGCTTGACCAGAGGATCAACGAAGACTGCGGCACATGCATGGGAGGCTCTGGTTCCAGGTGGTTTGTGTCGGTCTCAAACACAGCTGGCTATAGCCAACGTTTCCCCAAAGATTCTGAAGGCTTACGACTGTTCATGGATAGTTCCGTGGATGTATAGCTCCCTGGAGTCGACTCCCTGCCCTTTTTGCCCTTGCGACGCGGTCATGTGTGTCAACTGTCGGTCCCCATAGCAAGGTCCTCCTGGGCAAGCTTGCATTTGCTGCGATGTGCCTCGCTGCCTCTCGGCACGAGCTTCGGACAAGTTGTTCCCCACCTCAAAATCAGCGCCGAGAAACCAGCTCTCCACTCAATTCCAATCCTTGGTCCCCAATAATGTCCTGCGGGAATCGGATAGGTGACACAGGTTACACTCTTCCGAGCCTTCACTCGGCAACACGTTCTGCCTTGGGAATGCCATGAACTGCAGTAGATCCTAGCACTTTGCCTGCCCTTTTTTGGGGAAGTCGCCTCGCCTCGAGCCTGAAAGACGCGTCAGCGTCAGTTTTGTCAACCCTTTCAACATTGCCTCTTCACTCCTGATCCATACTATACATCCTGGATCTTGAGACTGCAGGGCTGCGGAAGCTTCACAAAGCCCAAATCAGAAGCTCCGGTTTGGGTTCAGTTGGGCAGCAGCAGAGGCACTTCTTGTTGCGGCGCTCGGCTGCGCGCTGTACTCAGAAGACATGTCGGGCCCTGAGCTTCTTGCGTCGTCTTGTGTTTAGTGCTAGCCGGGGCTAGGCTTCCTTCAAGCTGCTGGCTCAGACTTGCTGCAGGTTTGATTGTGATGTCCGTCACATTCCTTTTGCAGAGCTGGCGTCCAAAGTGTGTTTCAAGTGGACATTTGCAATGGATACTTCTATATTGCATGAAGCCACTTTCTGTTGCTTGTTATGGGTTAGCCTCGCAGAACATATTCAGGACCCTCCAATATGCGCGGGAAGGCGCTGCTCGCGATGCCAAGCAGCGGTTTTATGCGCGGGCCCTGTGAGGCAGTTCGCTGTCGAACGGAAAGATTGGCAGCGGGCGCTATCACTTTGGAGGGATGATCGTTGGCTGAGGAAAGACGTAGCTGTAAGGCACTAAACTGAGGAGAGGCAGCAAGCATAATTACCAGAAATGCCGCATAGTCAGGTTAACGATTCGTAGCAGACATTATAAGCAGGGATATGTATACCATGTCTCTGGAGGTGGCAGCCGTTATTGCTGCTACACGCATAACCAGAAACAACATACATGCAGCACTTTCCCCGCAAACCCGAAGGGGCTACCCTAAACCCTAAACAAAAAAGACCTTGAAACCCTAAAAAGACCATATTAAACCCTAAAACCTAAAGCCCTAAACCCTAAACTCCAAAGCCCCAAAATCGTGATTGCTTTTGGCCACCACCCAGGCCGCCCTCGCCAGCGCCCAGCCCCAGGCCCGGCCCTTTGCATCCGGTAGCAAACAAGTCTGCTGTTGTGTTGCACTCGGGGTCTTCACCCTTTTAGGGGTAGGACTCTCTTATTTAAAAAAAAGGTTCAGCATACATACAGAAATGTCGGTGTGTGTATGAGGGTGTGTTGGCGTGTATGTATATACATATACATATACATATACATACACATATACATATACATATACATATACATATACATACACAGATACAGATACATATACATACACATACACATACATATACATATGCACACATACATACATGCATGTATACATACATACATACATACATACATACATACATACATACATACATACATAGAC